AGGATGGGGTCGCCCAGGCGGCGACCGCGCCGGGGCGGATGGCCCCTCCCAAATCCGGCTTCATTGAGGTCCCGACGCGCCCGGCGAATGCGGAGCCCGACGTCGCCGAGGAGCTTTGCCGCGTCCCGCAAAGCGAGGACCTGGCGACGATGCCGGAATGGTATCACCACGCGTTGGTGGAAACGGATCCGCTGATTCGGTCGTACGGGATGGTTCAGGACCCGTTGGAGATGCGGGAAGGCGGGGTGGCGTACTACACCCCACCCCCCGCCGCCCGCGAGGAGGATCGCCTCACCCACGACGATGCCTTCGCCGGGGTTTCCGCCTTCGACGAGCTCAAACTCCACCGCCTGGAATCCGTCCCGGAGCTGGTGGAGGGGTACAAACCCCTTCCGTTGTTTCGCGAGGTGGCGAAAGACGACGGGTTGGATGGAGGGGGGGATCCGACCCCGGCGGGCGCGAACGCCCCGAGCGCGTCGTCGAACGGGGAGAAGCGCGTGAAGCGATCGGAGCGACTTCGTCGGGAACGCCAGGAGCGACTTCGAAAGGCCAAGTTGCAGTACGATCCCGATATTCTTCTCCCGACGTTGCCGTGGGAGACGGACTCGATTGTGGATCCCTACCGCGGCGTCGAGGCCGCCGACGCCGTGGAGTTTCACAAGGAAAACTTAGAAAAAACCTGGTTTGTCTACCGCGGCGCCTTCCAGCAGGCGATCACGGAGTTTGGCAACCTCGCCAAGATCACCACCGAGGATCGCTGCGAGCAGCTGCTGTATGATACGATGGAGCGATTTCGCAAGGGCGAGGTCGGGGATCATCCGGCGATCCCCACGGAGCAGACGGAAGTCTTTTCGTTGATCTTTGAGGCGCACACGAAGCACTTTTTGGCGGATTTTTACAAATACCGCGGGAGCCGTCTGTCGGAGGCGAATACGGTGAAAGCCGAGGCGGACGCCATGCTGCGGCGGGCCTCCGCCAAGAGCAAACTTCTGGGGCGGAATTTTATGAATTTCATCCAAGAAATGACCGCCTTGGAGCTCGAGAATGTGCGGCGGAACCCGATCCAGCGCTACGCCGTGATGTTGCGCGATCAGAAGTACGAGCCGTTGGCGAAGCCTTTTCTCGGGTGGGTGGAGCGGGAGCTTCAGGAGTTCATCCATGCCGATTTTCAGAGCCTCGAGCAGCTCGAGACGCATCGGGAGTTTCTCACGAAACACGTGAACGACGCGAAACGGCGGTGTCCGATGCGAATCGAGGGGATCCCCGACGCGACGCGGGATGCCACCGTCGAGGCGATCTTTCTCTGGTGCCGCGGCGCCCTGTACTTTTACGCGGGCAAGCAACTCCTTCGGATGTTTATGCGATTCGCCGATACCCGGTTTCGCGCCCGCGCCGAGGCGCATTTCGAGGATTCCATCGAATGGTTCACCAACTACGCGAAGATGAGCAACGGGGCGGTGCAGATCCCGATCCCGGACGCCGAGCCGCCGTATTCGTACGCGGAGAAGGATTTTCTCGACGGCGAGCACGCCGTGTTTGCCGAGATCAGCGGGAATTTAGACAAAGCCGAGGCGATCTGGCATACCGGGAGCTCCCGGCGGTGGTACCCGGTGATTGACGAGACGGAGTATATGTGGTATAACGAGCGCCGCGGGCGCCTCACGATCGCCCTGGATATCTCCGATCGTTGCCTGGAAAGTATGAATAAAAAAACGCACCCGACGATTCACCCGTTTCCCGAACGCGCCCGGGTCTTCTTGGAAGGCGCGCCGTTAACCCAGGAAACCGCGGAGCACCTTTGGCTTCGGCATATGGGGGATCTGTATTGGGAGCACGCGGAGTTTATGGCGCGTCAAGGCCGCTTCCAAACGAGCCGGACGTATCGGGAAAAGTGTTTAAATCTTTACCACCTCGCCCTTCGGACGGCGCGGGAGCGGCTCCCACCCTCGTGGCGGGCGCCGCTTCTCACCGAGGCGAAATATCTTCTCCGCGCGTACGAACCCGGCGGCGCCGTCGCGCCGCATCTCCGCGCGGTCGAGGCGCTCGTCGAGCGACTTTTTCAGGAAAAAGACCGCCCGCATTGGGTGGAGCCGTTCTCGGATTTGCCGTTTCGGATCGCCCTCGTGCAGGGGAATTTGCCCGCCTATGGGGAGCTCATCACGCGGGAGGTCGTCCGCCGGCTGGGGTGGCAGCCTTCGAATGAAAGGTTGCGGGAGAACATGGCGATCCGCGCGCGCGGCGGGGGGACCTTGCCGGAGTTGGAAACCTACTTCGCCACGGCGAACGCGGTCGCGGAGGAGGTTTTCCGTGCGAAGGTCCTGCGTTGGCGCGCGAAGGAGAAGGAAGGGTCCGATTCCTACCTCTTCTGGACGCATCTGTACTTCGCCTTTCGCGTTTATCCGAAGGATCGGGCCGAGGTGCAGCGGCTGTGGGATATGTACGAGCCGGTGTTTTTGTACATCTACACCCAATGCGCCCTCTCCGTCGCCGAGCGTGGGCAACGCCTGATTAACGATGCGCTCCGGCGCGTTTGTCAGATCCTTTTGGCCGGCGATGCCGCGCAGAAAACGACGCTCCACGAGGAGCTCACGAAGGTCCGGGAGAAGATGTCGCACTTCGTGGATCGACGCGAGTTGGATCGCACGATTAACGCGCTCGAGGCGCATCGGATGGACCCTTCCAAACCGACGTATATCTACGGAACGGGGCTTCTGCATCGCGATATGGTGCATCACGAGGGAATTGCGCGAAACCCTTCGCTGCGCTCGCAGTTAGCGGAAGGGGATTACGCCGAGATGCGTCGACGACAGGAGCTCATCCGCGCGAATAGCACCACCCTCGATCCTCACCAAGTCGCGCGGCTGGAGGAGGCGCAAACTAATAGCATCGATGATCCGTTAACTTCTCAGAGGAATTCATCGTTTTAAAGGCACGATTGGGGAGGGTGGGAAGGGGGGGAGGGATCGCAATAATTATGATATATTTATAGCTATATATCCTTGGAATCAAGTTATCGTTTTGACAGTACCATAAAATGGGCTTCCGGCCCATTTAGTAAAAGCATATGTGTTGTGTTGTTATCAAGCTTAGGAATCTTTGTAGAAATGAGGACGATATGCAAATAGGTCGTGGTGGAGAAAAGAAATGTTACCGCTTTCATTTGTCTTAAAGTTAGTTTTCATTTTTTCGAAAGCACATTTTCCCCCTTTTATTGGAAAAATAACGATAGTCATGTAGTGTTACCCATATGTCTTTCGTTCCACTTTTCCACGCTTTTTTTTCTGTTTTTCTTCTTTCAAAGTACTGGAAACCACCCTCCATGACGAGTCTATTGCGGCTCCTTTCCTTTGTAACCGACGCAGCCTATTCTTACCACGGCTTCCATTTTCAGAATCACGCCGTTCGAAGTGTGGAAAGCGATTCTTCACCTCTTTTGAGTGTTCTGACCAGAGTTCATCGTGAATGGCAATGGTGCAAGCTAAAGGATTAATGACAAAGCCGACTTGTGATGTGTTTTGGAGGCCGAGACCAATGGTGTATAATGCAAAAGGAGATCCTTCATTGGCTTACTAAGCACGATGCTCATTTTTTTTTGTCGAAAAAGACACGTCGGTTTATGGGTATCCCTAAAGCCAAGACGGACCTGATTGAGGTATTCCCCCGATTGGGGCGTGTTACCTTCACATTCCGTTTTAAGCACTTTTCCAGATGTTCCCCGCGCAGGAATGTGAATCAGCGATGGTGAATTCAACGATGAACGCGATATCTTTTAACTTTCCTTAGCGTTTGTGCTTTTCCAACGTCGGCGAATACAGACGCAGATAATGCGCGTGTGTGACGTGTATAATGCAAGGAGCCAACCATGATCGTTGCGATCTAGGAAATAAAATTTGGGTGTGATGAGAAAAAGTCCACATTTTTCTCTTTTCACGATTCTTCTTTTGCGTATCATCTCGTAGCTTGATTTCTAGGGTCTGAGAAACTATGCACTTGCCTTATGCTGCGGTGAGGTCTATAGGAACCCCGACAACTTGACAAGAAACGGTAAATTCTGTTGAACACACATTCTCTCAAAAGTTTATAAATTGTTGCTTTAATACAATCCCTGCCAACAGGGGCAATCTAAGGAGCCTTCTTGTGCAATATTGGGCTGTTGGGTTAGATTAGCGCTAACGGGTGCTTAATTGGGGCTCTCACGCTTGGAAAGATTTCAGGAGAAGGCCCTATTGTATGATCTAGAACATGCTCGATATGTATGACTAAGAAGGAGAAATCGAAACGATATTTATAGAAAAGGGAATGGTAAAAATGTAAAGAAGGAAAACATACATTTTTTTTTTGATGTCTACATAACCAGCGCTTGGCTTCATTAGGGAAAGGTTCCTCATTCCTGATCCCACGTAGAAGTGGCCGGCATAAGCCGCGAAAGTCCATCGTTTATCTTCCTTTTCCTTATCTCGAAATTACAAATAACTGCTTATTGTTAACGAAGCATCAGGTGTTCATGCGGGGGTCCTAATGCCCTCCCTACTTTTGTTTTTCCTTTGTCCATCAATCCAATTGCACACCACTTTTCACTTCTTCTATTTGGTTTTGTATGCCATGTTTCTGTATTCCGAACCACACGTGCGCAGACAGAATATTAGATAAAAGGAAGACATTGGGAGAACAACATCGCTTCAACGACGAGGTAGAAGGACGCTAAAGGCGATAGAGCTCACATGCCTTTAGTTAAGTCGACCGATGATGACGCTTTTGTGGAGGAGGTCCGGGCTGTAATGGACGACCACTGCCGGCGAAAAAGAGAGCACACTTCTGCGATGATTGAGGAGTATCTTCGACGGCGTGAAAAGCAGTTTGAGGATAAAGTCCGGCATGAGATCGCCTGCCAGGAGGAAAAAGCTCGACAAGAAAAACACGCCCACGAGGACGCCACGGCGAAGGTTTTGGAGCGGCTTTCCAGGGCTCACGCGCAGCTCGCACGGGTGGCCAACAACCTGGGGGGTTTGAACAGCTCGAGGATTCAACAGCGTTACTTTCACCGTTGGCTCCACATTCGCGCGTACCGGCGGGAAACTCGAGGGAGGGAGGCGCAGTATCGTTTGCTTTTATCGCGATTATCCGCTTTCCACTGCTTTGGTCAGTGGCGTCTTTTCGTGGCGGCTCGTCGGGAGCATCGTCAGCAGGTACGGCAAACGAAGCGGTTTAATACGCGCGAGAAGGAGCTTCTGCAGCGGGTTGACGGGCTCACCGGTGAGCTCGACGTCGAGAAGCGGCGAAGCGAGGAGTTGGATGAGAAGCTCAAGGAGGCCTTTGTGCGCGGGATCAGCGCGCTGAACCGGGAGGCCTTTCAGGCGCTTCGAGGGGACCAAAGCGAGGGTGATATCGCGGCGATCGAGGAGATCCTCGGCAAGAGTACAACCCAACGAAGCTCCGCCGCGGCGAGCCCTCGGAAGACAGAGGTTGGGCAAACGGAAGCCCCGGCGCGGAAGGAGTCCGGATCCGGGATCTGCCCGGTTCACATGTTGGATGCGGAGAGGAATTTTTATCATCGCTGTTATGCTCCGTCGACGTGTGAGTACGGGCCGCGTAAGGCGGCGAACGCGGCATCCTCGCATACGCCTTTTTACGTGCGCGTTGACAGTAAAGGGGTTCCGAGTTACAACGCCGGTCCGGTAATTAAAACGCAATCGACCCGAACAACCGGACGAAGGTGAAGATAGCTGCTCTTCTTCTTTATGGAATAGGTTTTTTTTTTTTTTTGAGGAGGGGAGGGAGGGGCTTTGAATCCTTAATAGCTAGATTGTTGCGTCTGAAGCTGATTCCTCTATCATCCCCCCCCCCCTCCCCCCTCTTCCTCTTTTTGTCGTGAGGCATTTTATTTTTTAGATTCATCCCAGACGTCCTCTTTTCGCTAGAATTTTATGCGTGACTTTTCCTTTCTTCCTTGAAATACTCTCTGAGGGGAAGTCCGTTTATTGTAAATGTACAATGACTTCACAAAAAGCTAATACGTTTCATTTCTACGGCCGTTTGCAACATCAGAGGTAGATGAGTGGTGTTCATATGGATTCATCATGAATGGATTTCTATCGGCCGGTTTCTTTCCTTTTTTTTCCCGTGTAGTCAGGAATGTCTTTCGTTTATATGACTTCAACCCATCTCACTTATTAGTTCCCATCCGATCGGCATGAATCGCCCGATCGATTCCAAAGCGGTGGCGAGGATTCTCGAGGTGCTTCACTTGCAATCCCAAGCCACCCTCCTAGGGTTACCACTTACCGCGGATGCCTACCGCGATCGCGCGCTCGTGCATCCGGCAAACCCCCTTCGTTATTTGCGAAGGTTACCCTTCCCTACCGAGGTGGAAAAGGAAGGCCACGCACTTGTTCGTCAGGTGATTTTAGACGCGATTGCGATCCCGTCTCCGTCTCTTTCCTCTCCATCCGAAGGAAACCCTTTTCGGGGGAAAAATCATCCCGTGGAGGGGATTTCGCCGCCGGGGGGGATCGGCTCCGTGTTGGAAGGCCGTCGTCTCTGCGGCCTCCCTTTGGACGGCGCCGTCTTCACCGCGAGTTTCAACCGTTGCGAGTTATCCTCGGCCTCCTTCGTCGGGGTCCACGCGGTGGATTGCAGCTTTAATCTCGCCCGTTTCAACCACGCGAACTTTCGCAACGGGCGCTTTCAGGGTTGTCAATTTATTTCCTGCGAAGGGGTTGGGGTGGAGGCCTCGGGGGCGATCTTTTCGCGATGTGTTTTTCGCCAGGCGGAGTTGTCAGGGTGGGGGGTGTGCGGGGCGGCCTTTCACGACTGCGCGTTTACGCGATCGGAGCTGTCGGGGTGGGAATTTGACGGCGCGACGATTATCACCTCGCCGATCGATTGGGAGCGATGCCGACGGCGGGATTGGCGCGCGATAGGGGAGAGCGGCGTGCGGGAATGTCGAGTGCTACGAGGAAAAAGAGGGGGAGAAGGATGGAGGGGAGAGGGAGGACGGAAGGAAGGGGGGTAGCGCCATGGCGCTTTCCTCGCCGCCCGCTCGCCACGCGAGGGATGGGGATGTGGTTGCGGGATGGCGGCCATCATCTGCGGCGTCTCTCCCTCCCTCCGACCCAAATCATGCAAATAAAAAAGAAAAACGACGGTGAAGCAATCTCTCAACGCGTTGCGATTTGCGGAGGTCAAATGGAACCTTATCCTTCACGAAGAATGGGAGCCATGACGAGGTTAGCCAATACCTCCCCACCTGCCGGGGTTCTTGCGTTTCTATGTCTTTGGTTTACTCTTTGCGACTATGAAAACCTTCTTTTTGTCGATATGTCGAGTTGCCTTATCTATGCGTATCTACCAAACGTTCACTCCATCCCACCTAACCCCATCACTGAATCTTTATATCTCCATGTGATATAGATCCTGCTCCCTACACATAGTTATAGATCGATATCCCGCGTGAGTTTGGTCGCGTCTCATGTCCGAGGCGCTTTCGGAGGTGGTGGGCACCTTGCACGAGATGTATCAAAGCCCCGACAACGACACCCGGCGACGCGCGACCGTCAAGCTCGAAACCCTCGAGGACCGCCTCGATGGGGAGGGGCTCGTGGCGATCGGCCTGGCCCTCCTCGCCGGCGCGACCGACCTCGCCGCGGTGCAGGCGTACGGCGCCGTGCTG